ATATAATACATTGATTTAGAAGATAGAACATTGATTGGATATTTATTATAGATCATAATTTAACTAAATATATTTATATTAGTGAAGTAATATATTTTATGTTTATAATGTACAAAATCATATTTTAAACACCATCGATTTTTATGGATCTATGTTTTATTTATGTCTTTTTATGTAGATGCGTATGGTTTTTTTTTTCTTCTGGCCAACATTATGTAAGCATTATTGTTTTCAATCGTGTATGTACATACGTACGGAAGAACAATAGTAGTAGCGTTTGTATAGTATAAAGTCATACATATGGGATATATAATATGAGGAAGTTATTACTTTTTAATAATAGTTCTAATCTAATGGTGTAAAATAACGGACCCACCAATTTAAGTTAAAATCAATGGCGAGATTAGATAGTGCCATGTGGCGGCTTAGGAGCGTTTGTAGGAGTGCCACGTGGCGATTTAAGAGTGTTTGTAGGAAAGTTAATGGACTTTTAATATATAACTAGGAAGGTAGCCCGCGCATTCGCGCGGGCATGCGTCGTACGCTAAGCTAGATACACTATAAGAGCAAAATATTAACCAAAGAACATCTGCCATGATTTCTCCATAAATTATTTTTGTCGGCATTAATTGCTTTTATAATTCTCTAACCTATGAGCTTTATCTTATATCATATTTTAGTAATATCTACAAGTGATTATTTATAATCTTCTTCATCATTTGAAAAGAAGGTAGAATTTTTTTCTTTAGAAAACATGTCAACAAAAGATAAAGTAAGGTGTTTTTCTCTTTTTTTAATTGCATATATATTATCATGGTTTAATAGAGGAGAATTGGGTAGGACATGAAGATCCACTAAATGTATGGGTTTATATAGCCTAATATAGCTGATGTATTTTGAGAGGTGATCTATCTAAAAACATTTCATTTAGAGTAGGTCAAAGCCTCCACACAGCTTAACGTGAATACTATAATGACAAAATATAATTGTGCAGTATTAGTTTTGAAATGTTATAGTATTCATATTACTATAGCATGAATACACGCTTGTTTTCTATATAAGATAGATATAATGATAAGAAATGATGGTTCCACAGGTTTAAAAGGCATAGGAGTATTCCAAAATTGTAGCTTAAAAATTATGTTTGTTTTAATACTCAATATTATTGCAAAGTGAGTGTAGCTCAACTGGTTAGGTTCCTTGTAGTGGAACATGCCACCGGGTTCAAGTCATAGACTTTGACATGGGTGCTCGTATTTATGACTAATTATTTTTTCAGTGGTAGGTGACGTATCCATCGACAGCGAGACGTCCATGGTGATTTCTTAAATCTCAAAATATGTCGTCTAATCTTTTGGACATACTCAAATGGGGTAAGCTATGTGTTTGTGAGTTCATAGGGGTGAGTGTGCGTCCGTTAAGTTGTGAGCGCCTACGTTTGTTGTGTGTTTCTAAAAAAAAATTCATAGGGGTAGGCTATGTGTTTATGCATTCATAGGGGTAAGTGTGCATGTTTTGTGAGTGCCTGTGTTTGTAATATGTTCCTAAAAAATATCCAACATTGATTGTTTTTCTTTTAGTTTGAGAGCTAAACAATATGAAGGGGACGGGCTGTGTTGTGCAAATGTGAGGGCGAGGAGGAGGTGGAAGAGATTTTATTTTTGTAATTTTTCTAAACGATTTAAGTGATAACCGATGATGGGGTGTTTCATTTTTTAAAGAACTTCTAACATACTTTCTTTGTTTTAAAGGATGTGGCACATGGCGATTTAAGATTATGTTTAAGAAATAGATTTAATAGTTAAAAATATTGGAATAATGGATACATCAATTTAGTTGAATTTTTTTTAGAATCTTAGGATATGATAGCCAGTGACTTATGAGCGCTCAGGAGGGAGTTTAATTGATTTTTGTTATATACAATGATTTACTATAACATACTATATATTTTCAATTAATTTTTGGTTGTTAGGATATTATTTTTCTAATATAGATATTATGGGTCCTAGTTTTGAGTTATATATTTTTATAAATACATTTAATTTTAGATCTATTAGAAAATACTTTGGGTGTTGTATTTTCTAATTAAACCACTTAGATTGTTTTAAATTGTTCTACTGGAAGTACATGTTATTAATCAGATCAGAAGGTTTAAAAATCTACTTGATATTTTCTTCAAAATGTATGAATCGGTGAACAATAGTTAGTCCGTATAATATATATGACACAAAGTAATGAATTTCTTTAATAATATACTTAACTTGGATCTTCAGTTTTAAATTTTATAGTAAATATTATAATGGTGTGCACAAAAAAAAGTAGATATATGATTTAGATAATATAGTTGTTTAAAATTAGTTTTCATAAAACATTTTTCCATCTAACTAAAAGAGAAAAATACGAGAGAAAGAAAATAGGTGGGGAGGCACGTACGTACTGAATGTGAGGGGTGGATATGCAGTGCTTGTTTTCTTATCCTCTATTTGATAAACAAATCTAATGGTAGAAAATAATGGGTTATAAAATATTTTTTCCATCTAACAAATTTAGGAAAATAGGAGAAAAATAGGAGAGAAGGAAAATTGCTGGGACTGGGGAGGTACATACTGGTCGGGGTAAGTACGGGAGAGGTTTGAGATATGCGGGTCTTTTTTTTGTTTTTATCCTTATCTATTTGGATAAATATCCATTGTATATTAGTGAAAATCGACGGATGGATGTTTTATTTATTCTCAGATTTTTTGTGATTTTTAAATTTATTAAAATGCCACGTTGTGGCGTAGGAGTGTTAAAAGGAGCGCCACGTGGCAATTTGAGAGCATTTATAGCACATGTGCGGAAAAAGTCTGAATTACACCCTTAAACTACAACAACAGTACGAATTGTCCCGCTTATATATAAACTCATCTATCACCATCGTTCCTAAACATATGAGTTAATATATTTTTTGTTTTGTTTTTTCTTTTATTATACATTTGATTCACTTATGCATGTTCATGGGTATCATAAGATAGAATAATCTATATTGTCAAAATTATTTGTGCTAATTATTAACATTATATAGATGAGAATGACATAACTAAAAAAAGATATAATATGGTTCCATAAGACACTTTCGATTGAATGTGTATATGTTTTTTCTGGCAAATACTAAGCACGTACTTTTTCCTCTTTTTTTTGGAGACAAATATTTTTTTCTCTTAGGGTAGGTGTGCGTATGTGTATTTATATGATAGATGTGCATACGTTTATATATGCGCTCGTGAATGCCTTTTATATCATTAGTAAAAAAATACTTTCAAGAACATTGGTGAGATGGAGTGAAGTGGTGCTGTAGCGGCGTGGATTCTTTGACAACCTCGTCAGGAGTGGTCGCTACTCATATGCACAATTTGAGGAAAATCTATCTCATAGCTGCAAAGAAAGAAAGAAAGAGAAAACTACTCGATGCAGCTGATCGTATACACACTCTTCTTGTTTTTTTCCTTTTATGACATCTCTTGTGTACGTATATAGTGAGGGATTACTTGAATATATATATATATATATATATAATGGTTGAAATAATATATCCACAGGTTATGTATAAATAAATAGCTTGATTTTACCTTTTTAAATTTTTTTTCTTAGATAAGCACGGGTTATGTAATATATAATACTTAATTAATCGCTAATGATATACTTTGTTTCGCGTGTCCTAGATATGCTCTTCCAATGTAGACCAAATGATTACTAAAAGATAAAAGGACATCCACATGCTGTAAAAAAATATATGATTGTTAATTTTTTTAAAAAAATATATGAATAAAGAAACATATAATATATGAAAAATACATTCATGGCGATTGGATATATCAGTATTACACAGTATGGAGTGAGTAAATTTTTAGAGAGCTACTCACAATTTAAATTGTTTTTATTTTGAAAATATAAGTCCAATTTAACTATGCTCTTCAGTGATATACAATGATATAATCCACAATTTTAATTTATTATTATTATTATTATTTGTGGATGATTTGATGAGATGCGCTATTTAGAATAAAACTTAAAATAACATATAATTTTACAACTTAAAACATATGGTTAACATGGATTTTTTTGAGTTTTTTCTCTAATATCTACTACTATAAAAGTTGAAGATGTTTTTGCTGGTACTTCGGTACGTCATCCGTGTACGAGTCGGTTTTTTAGGTTTGTTCGCTTTTTAAAATACGTATTTGAGTTGGGTTTTAAGTTTCGTTCGCTTTCGAAAATGCAGAAGGAGTCGTATAAGAAATATTTTTAAAAAATAACTCGCATGCTAACTTCACTCCTAATTGTAGCTCATGATTTTCACCTTAACTAAACCATATAACAATAATAAAATCAAAATAGCCTTCACCCGTTGTAACACACGAGCATTTTTTCTAGTCTAAGTATACATGCGAGAAGGAAAAAGGAAAAAAAGACATATAGGGGATATGTACGTACACGGACGTACGGACGTACAGGTCCATGGGGACACGTACGGCCAGGTAACGTGGGTTTTTTTAGATAGATTTATTTGGTATTTTCTTTAAATAAAGATCTAATGGTTAAAAATAATGGGTCCACCAGATTAAATGAAAACCGATGGTTAGATGTTTTTCTTTTTAATTAGAATTTCTATGATTTATTAAAACACCACGTGGCGATCTAGGAGTATTTGTAGGAACGCCACGTAGCGGCTTAGGAGCGTTTGTAGGAAGTTTAATGGACTTTTAGTATATAATAGATAGATAGATAGATAGATTAGAATTTCTATGATTTATTAAAACGTCACGTGGCGATCTAGGAGTATTTGTAGGAACGCCACGTAGCGGCTTAGAAGCGTCTGTAGGAAGTTTAATGGACTTTTAGTATATAATAGAAATAGATAGATTTAATCTTAAAGTAGTTTAATTTTGACGACTTATAATCTGATATGGAAGAGTACAGATACTTAGCCCCTGATGATGTATTCTACTTGTGATTCGAGGAGCACTAATTCGCCTCGTGAATATTCTACGGGCTGGATCCACTTATACTACAACACTCCTGTTCCTACACCCTGATGTCTATGGCGTTCTCCGACGAGGATGACGATGCGTCCACGGTCAGCGTACGCACGGCGGACGACACGAGCGACGGGTGGGTCACCGTGACGTTGTACTCGCCGTGCGCGAGGTCGAGCTCGACGACACCGTCGGCGTCCGTCGTGGCGACGGCCACGGGGTGCGTCCTCCACTCGGCGATGAGCTTGTCGACGACGTCGCCGACGGCGAGGTTCTTGAACTCGTCGTCCGTCAGGCACATCACGTAGCACGCCGTGGCGTGCCACGCCGCCCACATCACCATGCCATCCACGTTCGGGTGCCCGTGCCCTTCTCTCAACACCTCCTCCAAATGCTGCGCCTGCACGTAGAACAATAGATTACGATTTTCTCATTTTCATAATGAAATCTTGATGATGAAAAAGATGTAATTATACAATTTGTTACCTGGTTTGTTCCATTGGCGACGTCGATCTCGGTGAGCCAGATGGGGAGCTTGAGCTGCGCGAGCGTGTCCAGCGTGGCGCGCATGAAGGGGATGTTTGGGGTGGCACCGAAGTGGCTCTCGAGCCCGACGGCGAGCTTCAGGCCGCCGTTGCCGGGGAAGGACCGTATCTGGTTCATCTTGGCGACGTACTTGCTGGCCATCGCCGCCATGTCCACCGGCTGCTCCACGGTGTTGAACTCGTTCATGAACAGCGGCGTCTCGCCGTCGATCTTCCCCACCTGGTGGTAGATCGCCGGCGACGCGTCCGGGCCGAGCTTGCCGTCGTAGAAGCTCCAGTGGAGGTTCTCGTTCACCACGTCCCAGCCGATCACCCTGCCGCCGCCGTACCGCGACACGACGGACCTGAGCCGCTTGTCCATGGCGGCCCGCAGCTCGTCCGGCCCCAGCGACCTGACCCACGCCATCTGCGTGCTCTGGTCATCCCAGAACACGTTGTGGCCGCGCACCCTGACGCCGTGCCGCTCCGCGAGCGCCAGCATGGCGTCCGGGACGCGGTAGTCCTCGTGCCCCTGCCTCCCCTCCGTGGCGTACCACTTCATCTCGTTCTCGAACGTCGCCACCGTGAACCGCGACGCGAACCACTGCTCGTACGCCGGGTTGTCCAGGATCTCCCGGGTCATCGCGTTGCCGAAGGGGAAGCCGGGGCGGAGGAGCTCGGCGGTCACCGTGGCGTTCGGCACCGGCGCGCCGTCGGTGCCGCGGGCGACGACGACACCGAGGGTGCTCCGCCGCGCCCTGCCGGCGGATTGTTGCTGGCGGTGCGCGTCCCACTCGTCGAAGGTGAACGGCTGCAGCGACACGCTGTCCACCCAGATGGCCACCGCTGCGTCGGCCTCGAAGTAGAGCTGGCCTTGCCCGGAGGAGTAGGACGTCATGCCGCCCTTGATCATGCTCCAGCAGCCGGACTTGGCGACGGTGGCGCCGGCGGCGACGAACTGGCCGTCGGGAGTCCTGACCACCGCCATCACGTTGGCCGTGCCGGCGGACACCTGCAACCACGCTGCACGGCCACACACACAAACACAACAACAACAATGGTATTAAAACAGCAAACACATGTGACACAGAAAATTAGGAAGCACTAGTGATTGATGATGAAGTAATGGGTGCATAACTGTATTCACCGAAATTTAAATTCTAGTGCTTGTGAATATTACACACATGTAGATAAGATGTAGATAAGGTTTCAACAGGATTTTAGTCAGATCAGTGATATATTTTTAGTTTTTGTCTCTTATAACGTAGGTTAGGGACGCATATACGGGACAACGAGTGTAGTGATTTGTGCGCGTGTGTGTTTACGCTGTAGTCGAAAAAAAAATAGGTAGACATGTATCTTTTTGTACCTGAGAGGGAATAGTGGGTGTTGGGCTGTATCTGGACCGTCTGGTACACGGTGCGCGACGGCTGGCCGTCGGTCCGCGCCTCGGCGAACTTGTTGCCGGACGACGAGCTGTTCACGGTGGCCTGGACGCCCAAGGGCACGGTCCAGTCCGTCAGGCCTACGTTGAACTCGCTGTTTTTTATGACGCCTCCGCTGTACAGAGGTATCATCGGGTTGCTCAGGCACTGCACAACACAAATTGAAATTCCACAATAAAACATTGCCTTGGTTGAGTGGCGGAGCCAGAAAATCTTCACACCTAAAATTAAGCTAATAAAAACTTAGATATTTCTACAAATTACATTGTATTTTTTAATTAAGATTATAATGGGGATTATGAAGTTAGGTATGGGGCTCAGGCCATAGTTGCCCCATGCTTGTTTCCGTCCCTGGCTTGGTTAATCCGTCTAATTTTGGAATATGCTTGGTTATATCTTCTCTGTTTCAAGCTATAATGATTTTTTACGCTTTTCAAGATGTATCTATTCATATGATGTCTAATATATTTTGTAAATCATATACAAATTCTTATATTTTAGAATAGAGGGAGTATTTAGGGCCTGTTTGGTACAGCTCTAACTCCTAAATTTAGCTCCAAGAGTTGGGTCTGGAGTGGAGTTGTGGAGCTGCCTAAACCCAGCTCCACAACTCTAGTTCATTTTGTGAGAGAGCTCCACCCAGCTCCACTCCCAGTTTTAGTGGAGCTGAAACTGTTTGGCTGAGCTCCAGCTCCAGGAGGGGTAGAGCTGGAGCTGGAGCTGTGCCAAACAGGCCCTTAGAGCCGAACAGTTTGAATAGCTCTGGTGTAAAATCGGTAAAGTTTATACTATCAAAGTTAATTAATTAGATAGATCTGATCGTGCAGATCAACTATAGGCAAATCTGACATTTAAAATTGCACCTGGAATAATAGCCCCAAATTAAATATTGAACAATTAAAGTGATTTTTTTTCTGAAATGGCATTCAATGCAGTAATGGAGGCAAAAGAAACAGATGAAGGATCTCGGAGCCAAAGATATTAAACGAGAATGCATTTTTGTATTTCGCAAACTGCTCCACAAAGTTCGGAAACGTAAATCCATATCTGATTGAGCAGTGTGCCTCTAGACTTATCGATAGCGATATCTCTTCCTAGTGCCTAGGCCCTCTTTGTTTAGGCTTAGACTTATTGGCCTAGACTTTTAAGTCAGCTTATTGGCTTATATGATTTATAAGCCGGTGGATTTAATGTCCTAAGTGTAGTAGTTGAGTCATACATCTACCTCACATAAGCCAAAAAAAGCTTCTCCAACCTAGTTTTTGGCTTAATAGTGTTAGAGTGGCTTATGGCTTCAAAAAAGCCAAACGGAAAAACTACTTGTTTGTTTAGACTTAGACTTTTTGACTTATAAGTTGTCTTATAAGCCTAAACAAAGAGGGCCATAGTATACTACTCCTGGATCAGTTTTGACCAATTCACCATCGTACCATTATTTCGTGGTTTTGGAGAGACTGAAATGAAAGATAAAATTGATCATTTTTATCCATTTGATTTGTTCAAAATACACGAAAAGGAAAAAATACATGAATAAATAACTAACTTAGTCGTGTAGTATATGCATGTCTTGCAACAGAGCTCAAATTAGAATTATTTGCGTCACATGGTTCGTACTAAATATTGAAATAAAATTTCTTGTGTTTTTTAGATCCAGAAGCTACTAAGTTCAATCTTTCACCGAAGAATTTATAGAATGGAAAAAAAATGTTATGCTAGGGTGATCTGCCATCCAATGCTTATTACTATTTGTAGAAAGAAACCATGAAAAAAAAATTCACAAAAGAGAGAAAAAAAAAGCTTGCCTCGATGCTTGCCGTATGGTCATAAGGAACCGATTGGACCATCTGACCTACAAAAATCATGGAGGAAAATGATATGTATGTGCATAAATATCCATAATCTTTTCGTACCATTACAAAAAAAAACAAAATGAAATATGCCAAATGGTGTAACTGAAAAAATGAACAGAGCAAAAGGTAAGTCTGAAGATAACACTACAAGCAGTGCACCTCTCCATATAAAAAAACGAATTTCGTCTGCCCCTTTTCATATGTGAAAGTTTCCTCCTTCCACATACTGACATCTCCCAAAAAAAAATCCGAGGATAAAAAAACTAAACCAGGAGGGGCGGTTGGTCCGTACTCTCTCTACATCATGTTGCGAAAAAAACTGACCTCTGAAGGAGAGTAGCAAAATGATTCCGAGTTTCTCCATGAAAACCTTCATCGTGTGTCCTGTTACCACTAATATTTGTTTCTAGCTACAAATCTGGACAGAAATAAATTTGGATAGAAATGAAGTCTTTTTGGACAGATGGAGTAAGTATATACAACTAGCTGGATGCCAGCTATTTCCTAACTTATATGCTAGGATGTCAGAAAAATGCCCATAAATAGCAAGACTTAACTTAATCCAGACAATCGGTGTACTGCTAAATTACCGTTTCAAATCAAACGGATAAGTATATTATTCTACGGCTGTATCTTCGACGAGTATTAATTACAACTACTATCTCGTTGCCTATAAATTCATTTTTCTCCTCTGGCAAAACGGACCTCAATCAATCTATCTATTAAATATTAGTATAGAGATAGTATATATCAATCAATCAATCTATCTTCTATTTATATACTAAAAGTCCATTAAACATCCTATAAACGCTTCCAAGCTGCCACGTGGTGCTCTAATAAAATAGAGAAAATCCTAGAAATTCTAGAAAAAAGAAAAACATTCGACCGTTGATTTTCATTTAAATTGGTGGACCTATTATTTTGCACCATTAGATTTATCTTAGGAAGAAACACTTTCCATCGTTAGATTAGATTGATCTAACAGGACTCATGGTCAAGCGCACCTCGCCCCTTTCCGTGCGTGAGACGCACCGTACACACACCTCCTCTCCTCTCTTTTGCTGCCCCTCCCCTCCCCTCTCCATAATTCTCTTTTCTATTTGTAAGAAATATTTTTTATCAAGAAATCAACAGTTTGATGAGTTCAAAATAATTACTATAGTTTTTAATATATTTTGAAAGCAAACAATCAGATCAAGAAAATCCTCTCATGCACCTACCCACTGCTGTGTCAATATAAGCGATGCAAGCAACTTCCATCTCTTTGTTTGATCTCTCACGCCTTACCGTGCTTGTCACTTTGATTCCATGTAATAGTAATAGTACAGAAAGGCTATCTTTGATTTCACATAAATTTCTTGAAGCTTATGGAAAATAAATAAATTAATTTTTAGGCATTTGGGTTATCAGGTGGTTTTCAAGCAAGGGTGCCCTACCTCTTCCTACGTATGTGCCTCCCTTGCCTTTACACACTTATAAGTCTTAACTTATACATTTGATTTCTGATCCGTTTAAAACATCACATTCTTTACGATTAAATCAACAATTAAAAACTCAGTTTTGAATATATTTTAAATCATAAAGATATAATTTTGCATACTAAAAGTATATTAAACTCCCTACAAACGTTCTCAAACTGCCACATGACGTTCTACAAATGCTTTTAAGACGTCATGTGGCGCTCTAATAAGTTTGAAAAAAAATTATAACAATTCTGATAAAAAAGAAAAAAATCTAACCATTAATTATTCTTTAAATAGGTGGACCCAATAATTTTAACCATTAGATCTTAAAAAAATCAGGTTCCCCCACCGTATGTGACCACACACGTGCGTATTCCTTCACCCTTCTACTCTCCTCTAGGATCCCAATCTCCTCACCTATTTAATTTCTAGCTAACTTTTCCTATTTTCTAGCTAATACAAAATATATAAAAAATAACAATAGCTAAATGATCATGACTCTCAAGTCATGTGTACTTTTCTCATTTTATTTGATTTTCTATGTTATTGATAATTAAATACATACTCCACGATCCATAGTGCCCATATTTACTATATAAAAATTAGATAACTTGGTTGTTCTGACTACAAATATTTGAGCAAAATATAACTTTGAAAATGATGAATGAATTTAAATATGTGAATCTAAAGTCCAGGTTCAATCACTACCAAGGAGCTTGGAACTGTGATACATACTCTGAACTCAAAGGAAGAGGAGCTACAAGACATTATTAGCCATGTGGACACCGATGGCAACGGTAGCATTGACTTCCACGAGTTCCTAGGCCTAATAGCGTGCTAGATAATTAGGTGAAGGAAAAGTAATGAGAGGAGGGGAAGAGGGAGATGTTCCGCGTCTTCGACAAGGACTAGAAAATGGCTTCATCTCTAACGCCGAGCCCCGCCACGTCACGTGCAATGCATCAGGAGAGGCTCACTAATGAGGAGGTCGACGAGATGATTCACGAGACCGATGGTGGCAGGTGGATCAACTACAAGGAGTTCGTAAGAAAATTCAGAAAAAAAATAAAACAAGCAATTTGATTAAAATATACATTAAAAAATAAAAAGAATCATTAAAACTATAAAAAATACAACAATATTCCATGTAGAATATAAAATATTAAGAGTCCATATAAAAGTATGAGTTATAAATAGCTAAAATTTGGAATAATAAAACAAGTATTACAAGAGAAGTCCAAACACAACACGCAATGAGATCAACACGCTATGAGATCAAGTACAATTTAAAATCCCTAAAAAGACAATTTAGAGTAAAACAATAATTTGATTTGAATACAAATTTGAAATTAGAATCGAATAACTAAATTCAAGATACATTAAATATTTTTTAAAGAATCTTTCTATCTTTATTGATTCACATGTATAACGAATTGCATATATATGAAGCAATTAAAGAGAGCGATAGCAGGGTGGGAAAAATACATTTATTACAGTTTATCGACATTTCTTGAGAAAAAAGATACAATGAACACTCAATTAAAAATAGAAAAAAAATGTTACTTTAATTTAAATTTATTTTGTTTGAACTATTTTCAAAATAAACCAATACGCATGCCCGCGCGAATGCGCAGGCTATCTTCCTAGTTATTATATACTAAAAGTCCATTAAACTTCCTACAAACGCTCTCATGCCGCCATGTGGCACTCTACAAACGCTTCTATGCCGCCACGTGGCTCTCTAATAAATTTAGAGAAATTAAAAGAAAACTAACAGTCAGTTTTCATTTAATCTGGTGGACCCATTATTTTTAACCATTGGATTTATAATAAAAATAACCAATTACATTTATCCTAAAAAGGCCCACGTACATGCCCCACATACGTGCATGAATGTACCTACTTCATGCACCAAGCCCCACGTTCCTCTTTTTTTTCTCTTTTTCACGCACCTGAGATAAAAACCGAATTAATTATTCTATAATGTATTATGTGTTTTATTTATTCATATATTATTAGAGATTTAATATCAAATATATTATTTTGACACCTTGTCATTGTCATTTATCTCCCACTTTAGACTTCGATCAATTTCATTGGGTGAGCTTATCCAATGCACGCAGAATGGTGCAAGTCATTAGCACAGGATTAATTGAGTATTAAATATAAAAAATAGAAATAAATTAATTTTATTTTTAAAAAACTTTTATATAAAACATATTTGCAATACATGCATCGCTTAATATACCATTTAGTAGTTCGGGAAACATGCTCGATATAAATAAGGGAGTAGCCAATTCGATAAGCACTTTAGAACATAGCCTTAAATGTATTATTTAGGTAGGAAAACATTAATATATACTTCCTCCGTCCCAAATTATAAGGCCTATATTTTTTTACATGGTCTTCAACTACATACTTTGACCATTAATTTATTCAATGTTATATTCCCAATAAATATGAAATTAACATCACATGAAAGCACTTTAAAATATAAATACAGTGATATAACATGCATAATAATTAGCATATACTCCCTCCGTCCCAAAATGTAAGCATTTTTAGCTATGAATGTGGACAACTGTGTGTCCAAATTCATAGCCAAAAATTGCTATATTTTGGGACGGGGCAGTATATGATTAGTATGATTAATAGTCAAAAGTTACCGAGTTTGATTTTTCTTAAAATGAGGACATCCTATATTTTGGGACGGATGGAGTAATATACAATATATTTGTATACTTGGTCAATTATAGTCTAAAATATCAAACTTATGTCCTCAATGATCCCCATGTATATAAGTTCTATATATAAGCCACTGTCCACTGATTGCTAAATAATATTATTTACGAGGTATCCATGCACAATGCACCTAAAAATTAGCTGATATCCAATGAGCATGTGTGTCATCCAACACCGAAGATAAATGGCGATACTAAGTGCACAACCATCAAGAAACTATAGAGTAAGTAGACGATGCAAACAATAGTTGACTACAAGTAGATTACAACTACGAGTAATACCATTCCTACACTTCTACAAACGCTCCTAAGATATCACGTGATACTCTAATAAATTAGAAAGAATCTACGAAAAGTTATCTAAAAAAGTAAATATCTATCCATCAATTTACACTTAAATCGATGATCCATTATTTTCAACCATTAAATTAAATTAGATATATGAAAGTAATCCCTCTGTCCTAAAAACCATATAATCTGTCTCTATATACGTACACAACTCCTATATAATTACGTACACAATAGATATAAAAAGAAAAAAAAAGGAATAGTGTGTTTATGTGATTCGTCGTAGCTGGTAGTTTTCTCTTTCTTCTCATTTCTTCTCAGCTCTAAGATTTTCCCAAATTGAGGATATATATACATAGCAACCACTCCTAGCGAGGTGGTAAAACAAACCATGTCGCGGCGCTGCCTCACGCCACCTATTGCTTCACTCTCATCCCGTCAATTTTTTCGAAAGTATTTTTTTACTAACAATGTAAAAGTCAATCATATGAGCTCATATATATATATATATATATATGTGCAGATGCACATTATGAATACACATGCGTGCACCATATCCTATGTTAGAAAAATATTCATTCAAAAAAATGAAAAAAAACAAACGTATGTACGAGAGACTACTATTCACTATAAAAAAACATACATATAACTACATTATATCTATTTTTATGTCACCCTCATCCAAATAGTTTTAACAAATTAGCTCAAATTCCAACGCATATTAACTCCCGTGTACATGCATAGGTGAATTAGATGTATAATACATGGAAAAAAAATCAATACTTATACTAACTTGTAAGTTAGCAAAGGATAACTGTGTGAGCACATATTTTTTACGTGGTCCTCATCACTAAAGCTATTAGATAGTCGAATGATCAACCCTGCTATTTTTTTAAAAAAATATCTATACTGCTAAAATTTAGTACTATTGATTAACCCCTTAAACAAATTTTGTCTACTCTATACAATAAATCAACTCAAGACACAAAAAAAACTTTTTTTATCACCTCCATCTTCTTTCACTCATTCCATAAAGGATGCCAAGTATGGATCTCAACTGGCTACATTGCAGTAATTATATAGGAGTATGCATTATTCGGTTAAAGTGGTCCGAGTAAGATGTTACCGTTGACAATAATGCTTAACTGGCCTGCTACTTACCGATAAAATTATGTTACCGTTGAGGAGCACGACTATATCAATGCAGAAACCATGAATCAAGGCATTAGAGAAAAATCCTTAGCGGCTATAGTCGGCTTCACCCGATCGTCAGAGGAGCATTCATATATAAGTTTAATTGTTTTATCCTATTAGTTGGTAGAAGCGGTATTCTTAAATACTTATATATGGGCACTTGTATATAATGTCGAGATTAACTTTTTATGGTATTAATGATGTATTGGGGTTTCTTTTTATACAGCTGCAATTCCATCGATTAAAAAGACACACATACTTCAAAACAATGATAATAAGTTATGATGAATTGTGAATTTACATATAATTGGGATAAAGTGATTTTTGGTTGGACCTGATAGCCATTTTGATCATTTACTACATAACAAAATCAATGGTCTATTTCTTATATTGAATATGGCGAGATATGGTTTCTTTTAGTATTCTTTTTATAGGCAATAAATAAATTTCCCGCGCATCTGCGCGGGCTTTCTTCCTAGTTATATAAAAGACGAGCATTACGTACCGAGCTAGCTGTGAAAATCCATCCTAATGGATTAATGGCTGTTAGAGACAAAGTTACGTTCGGATGTCGCAACCCTCGTGGGATTGTTGCTGATGCGCCTCCCTCTACATTATCAACATGATCCTCCGATCAAAAACCCTGTCTAGGTCTCCTTGGCAAGCTACGATATTTTCAATGTCGTAACCTTATTGGAGGCATCGTTTTAGATGTGATGTTTGTTTTTGTAGCTTTTCAGATCATGGGCATATGGGCAATCTGTTAAGCATAGCAGCGTACGGCTTGATGCTAGGCTTTTTCCTCGTTGGTGTGCGGGTTTTTTTTTGGCACATGGCGAGGACTATAACCTTATGATATTTTTCATGCTATATCAATATTAAACTTTATATTGTTTCGTGTGATGTGTTTAAAAGAATATATTGTGTGAAGCATTAAACGCAGGCCAGCATTTATGAATTTTCGGGTAATGTCAGTTACAATATAACCAAGTATGAAATGTGCTGTATATCTCATAACTAAGTAAAACTTGTACCCATCACGCATTTTGTTGGTGGGTTCAACTGTAAGCGAGTAAATTTTCACCGTCTAGTGCTAGCTAGTGAAAAATATACATTCCTGAAAAATGATTTTTGACGGCTAAGCCTCTTTCACTATGTAGGTGGAATGTATTTTCAGCTCCGAAGGCCCACCTAGTGCTCTTCCTCCGCTCGGCCGCGCCCCCGTTACACCGGCACTGCCGCCGCCAGGCCACGCCCCGCTACACGGGTGCGCCGCTGCCGCTCGCGACACCCCTCCGGCCGACCACTGTTTCGTCGTCACCATTCTAATGGAGAAATTTTTTTTGTGTGTGTGGTGATGCGCGGGGGCATTCTAGGCATTTCGAAAAAAAATTCACCACTTTCAGCCAGGAAATGATAATGCATCCGGTGTACTAAGGAAAATTTCACAGTTTTTAAGTGTCCTAGAGCAGTGTCACGTTTTCGCGGTGTCCCTCAGCTAATTATACAATTTTACTTTTTTTATTTTTTTATTTTAAAAATAAACTCTTTTAAAACTTTTTTTTTGACCGGGAAACAGTGGGGGAAGCCCCCACGGTTAATTTTCATTTATATAGAGGAAAAAAGAAACTGTACAGAAGAAGATACGAACCTTTTGGCCACTAGCGTAGCAAAACAATACTGTCACACATGTCTTGCTGGTATAATAGTGTTATTCGGCCACGTCGGTCTCGCTGGCGTGGCAGAGTTATTTGGCTACGCCACTTTGACTGACGTATCAAGGCAAAACTGTCACGCCCGCTACAGGTGATGTGTCAGTGTTATTTCGTCGTGTCAGGAAGGGCTGGCATGTTCAAAAGGTTTAGATTTTAGAAATATATTTTTGTAAGGGTTTATTTTGAAAATTTAAAATTAAAAACGTTCAAGAAAATAAAAAAAATCTGGTTGAACGTGGTTAGCATCTGAATTAGGCAAGGTACATTGGTTAATGCAGAGCTATGACCGGAAGAAAGAGGAAGAAAGCAAGTGTGACATGGGAAGTGGAGGGGGTACACGGAGCTACGGAGAGGCGATTTGAGCGAGGAAGCTCCACTACCACGTACGGCGGCAAGCCGGCAATGGAGCCGGCCAATCCGGCGAGCGCCATACCAGGCGAGAGATGCTCCTATCGACGAGGCGCCGTTGCATCTGAGCCGAGACCGCACAGGAGACAGGACCGTCGCACCGAGTCAACGGGCTGAGCAGACCGAGCAACGTGAAGGAGAACAGAGCAGGTGAAAGGAAGGGCCGGGCCGGCACAGTTAGGAAAGCCCAACTAGAATGCTAGGAGGCCTTCAAACCAACGGACGGGATTTGGCTGTGTGTCCATGTGAACAGGCTGCCATGTTAGAAACCCGAGTGGTAAAAGAGCCGTGGAGGAAAAGGACCTCAAGTAGATATAAGTTGGGAAATGCCAGGCGCCGGTGCATCGGGCGCGCCTACCGCGCGGGGGGCCCCACGCCTGTGCTGCCCATGTGCGTCTGTGCTGCTTCTCCACGTGTCTTCACCATATAATCAATTACAACAAATCACCCACATATTTTGAAAACACTCTATTAAGGTAATTTGGTTTATTTTTTGTTCCACAAAAAATGTTTCATCTAGCGTACTCACAATGTTTCACTATGTATGGATAATGCTACAGTGAACTGAAACATTCTTTCGCTATTTGCTGAAACATTGTTTTTATATAAAGTGAAACAACGTTCGATTTAAACGATTGAAACATTTTTGATCTACTTAGTGAAACAATTCCGAAAAACCTGGTGGAACATCGTGCAACATTTAAAAAAAATTCAATAATAAGCTACAAAAATTTCGTCAGAATATATCCATGTGTGGTTTTTTTTAAAAGATTTAATTGCAACGAATTTAATGGTTCAATCGGATCATGATTTGGATAAATAATTTTTAAGAAAAATTTGTTCATGCTGACGTCAGCGTTCGATTTTTGGAGATTTGGATCGGGCGACCGATCCCTAGTCACCTCCATATAAAGTTTGTCATGTTATTGTTGAAACTAGAAAGCATTATACTTGCATGTTAGAAACCAGTCGCGCTTTGTTCAGTACGGAGCGCTAGGAAGGATTCAGAGCAAGTATAAGAGCAGGTACAATAGAAGGCCATAAGCCAGCTATAAACATATTTTAAAGAAAAAAAGAGGAGAGAGAATGGCAGCAACTGTAGCACGGATATCAAGGTGCATGTGTGTATGATAGGTGGGACCAGATATTAATTATATAATATATGTTTATAGGTAACTATTGTAAGAATTGGCTATGAAGTTGACTATAGATGATTTAGAGCCAACAGTTGGCTACACTATTAAACTTGCTCTAATAGTGAGCTATAAGCTTACGTGGAGTATAAAGGTAGCAAAAAATTAAGAGTGTTGGCTCTCATGCAAGAGCTAGTTTATCACAAGTTCTAAGACAAATACATTAAATGTATAAGTGAGAGATAGAGAAATGAGAAGAAAATTATAGCCAACCTTACATGCTAATAGTAGAAAGTGAGCTCTATTATTATCCTTGCTCTCAGGAATTTTGATGGCTCTCAATGGTTTCTCAGGAGATGATGAACACAAGCCTATCAGAATATGGCATCCATATTTTATTTTCTTGCCATTTGTCTTCTAAGAAAGTGCTGTGGTTTTCTGCATACTAATATGGAAAAGGCGCATGGTGATAAACCTTAAATGTGCAATATTTTTTTATTTAAGTTCATGCAATTGTTCATGGTTTCTTTTCATCCTTTGATAGAGAAATGCACCAATGGATTTGTGTGCAGACTATCATGTGCCACTGTCACTGTGGTCTGCAGCACAATTTCCCTGCAGACCTTGCTTGAAATTTGGGTTAACAATGGCACAGCTTCCCTGAAGCTGGTCTAGAGAAATAACCTGTGTACTGATAATTGTGCATGGCTGTCCTATGCCCTTAACCTTTCTGATGAATACTTGAAGTGACTGTCCTTCTTGTTTGTAAAGTTTGCAGCAGCTGCCTTCTCCAAGAAATATTTGCAACACAGACCCAATTCACCAATTCAGAGGGAAGATATTGGAAACCATAAAGATGGAAGAGTATCACGGTAAGTACATCGGAGCTTGTTGCGCTCCACAGAGCAAGTCGCAATTCCCTGCACTCAAGATTATACTGTACGCTTCTGTATTGAGGAAGCTTGCAGCAAATACATGGAACTCATACAAGCCAACAAAACGTTGGCACAAGAACATTACACAGCAGTATTTGTACAGTAGACAGGCTAATTTTGACAATTTTGAATGTTTTACAGGCTTTCACTGGGACGGTGAAACTTGCTCGGTCCGAACCTTAAACACGGGCATCATCCTCTTCCATTCAAGGTGAATGAAGATGGAGATGGCGGTGTGCAGTTCAGGCAGCAGCTAGCTTGATCTCCGTTCAAGGAAGATGGTGATGCAGCGTCTCCGGCGACATGGAGATCATCTGCAGCAGGCTGGAGCTCGAGAACGTCTCCTCGAGGGATATCTCGATCTTGCTGCTGCTCCCGATGTTGTTCCTCACGATCTGCATCAGCTCCTTGGCGACGCCGAGCATGCAGAGCCCGTTCTCGGCGCTCAGCAGGCACGCGACGGCGAGCTCGAACACCTTCCTCACGTCCTCGTTCGGCGCCGGCAGCTGCTTCCCCGCCAGGAGCGTCACGTCGATGACCTCGTGCAGCCTCCCTTCCCTCACCTTGGGCGCCACCGAGTCGAACGGGTGCTGGTGCCTCATCCCCGTCAGTAGCTCGATCAGGAGGTGGCCGAAGTTGCGCACGACGTCGTGGTCGTACGACGGCGCGTAGTAGTAGTAGGCGACCGGCCTCGCGAGCTTGTAGCCGGCGATCTTGGCGGTGAGGTTGTCGTCGAGGAAGACGTCGCTGGACTTGAGGTCGTGGAGGAAGGTCGGGGCCGTGTCGTGCGCCTGCAGGTACGTGAGCGCGCTGGCGAGCTCGATGGCGATGTTGACGCGGTGGTACCAGCTGAGGAGCCGGCCCTTCACCTGCCGCAGGTGGTCCTCCAGCGTGCCGCCGGCGAAGTGCTCGTGCACCAGGAGCAGCGCGTTGCCGGTGCCGGAGTCGGCGGCGGCGGTGCAGCAGAAGCCGACGACGCGGGCGATGTTCCGGTGCGAGACCTCGGAGAGGAGCTCCACCCTGTCCAGGACCAGCCTGAGCTTCTCTGCCGTGTCGTACCCGATCCTCTGCACCGCGACCACGGTGCCGTCGTCGAGGACGCCGGCGTGGACCGTGCCGCCGCCGTCCACCTGCACGTTGACGGCGGCCTTCTCGCTGTCGTCGAACCTCTTGGTCGCCTCGTCCAGCTGCTCGTACGTGAACTGCCTCGCGTTGCACACGCCACCGAGGATCTTGGGGATGCACGCCGGGTCGATGTCCCACAGGGTGTCCTTGGAAGGCTGCCTTAGGAACAACCAAAACGAGACGGCCGCCGCGAGGAAGAAGAGCGAAACGAAGAAACCTGTTTTTCGTGCAATGTGGATCATCAGCTAGTGGAGATTGATGTGCAAATGTGATGCAACCAATCGATGAACACACGGGAGTGTATGATTTACCGGCAAGAGCAACTGACTTCTTGGAGCAAAACCTTCCCTGGCAACACTCCCTGCCGTCACTTGCCTGCCCAGAATTGCTGCACGCTAAAACATGCATACATACAAGCAAGAGCATCATGTATTTGGGCTGGAAATTTGTCGAGCTCGCAGTCATGGAGTACTTACATGTGCCTTTTGAGCAGCCGGTGCCATGTGCGAAGCCGTCGCCGACGAGCCCCGCGGCGCACGCGCACCGCACGCCGCCTCGCACCGCCGTGGCATTGACGGCGACCGCACCGTCGGCGCACGCCGCCATCTCGCTGCCCTTGGGCACCGCCCACTCCACCTCGATCCCCCTCACGACACCCGGTGCGGCGGCCGACCGGTTCTTGACCCAGCTCGAGAACCCCCGGCATCCGAACTCCGCGAAGGCGCCAAGCCCATCGCCGGGCTTCCACACGCTGCCGTCGGACAGCGGATAGCAGCACCCCGACTTAGCGCCCGCGGCGGCGCCACCGCGGCCGCAGGTGGCAACGTCTTCGCAGCCAGCGCGGCAGAGGGAGGAGTCCTCGCAGGCGTAGAGGCGGAGAACGTTGGCCGGCGTGACGGCGAGGAATGCCGCGGCGGCATCGAGAGCGGCCGCCGGGGAGGACGGGCGGGAGAACGCGGCGTACGCGGGGTCGCACGGGGACGACGGCGACGGCGACGCGGCGGGGGCGTAGTCGAGGAGGATCGATCCCGACGGGAGGAAGCCGAGGACGCGGAACGTCGCCGAGCCGAGCGGCAGGGTGAGCGTGGCGTTGGTGGTGTCGCAGGAGAGGCGAAAGCGTGAGGAAGAGTTGGTGGTGCTGGAGACGCAGGAGGAGTTGAGGTGGAACGGGAATGGGAGGAGGAGATCGCCGCAGCGTTCGCCACCGCCACAGCTGCTGCTGCTGCTGCTCCGATCGGCGGCAGCCTGGGCGGCGGACGTCGCAAAGAGGACGAGAAGTACAGTGAGGTGTGGCAGCGGCATAGGGGGGGACATGGGTGGCGGCGAGCCGGCGACGCCGACGCGGATGCCGCGAGCGACTCGCGCTGTCACGGATTGAGTCTCAGTGTCAGTCACATCTGCGTGCTTCTGATGGTTGAGCAACGAGCTTAATTAGCAGGCACCTAGCTAGCAGGACGCGCGTGCAACTAGGCAGTAGCACATGATATGAGCACGTCACACGCATGGTTCATAGTGCAGTACGTGGTAGCTAGCTTAATTGGGTGCTTGGCTACTTAATTAGGCAGGCAAAAGCAAATGGTGTACTAGCAGGAGCCGAGTACTAAGACAAGCAGGACGTAAGAGATGAATCTTAATGAAGTGATTTGCATTGGAGTTGGATCTTCCCAGCTTATTTGCCCCGCTCTTTTCTGATTAACATACATATTTTATCTCGATTTTCGTTAGCACATTTTTCAACCTTCTACACAAAAGTTGATTTATGATATGGATAAATCTATTTTTCTTTCAAGTTTGTAATAATTAAAACTTAATTAGTAATGCGCTAACGGCTTTTTAATTTTCTGTGCTCTAACTTCAGCTGTATTTTTGGAAGAACCGAACAACACTATCTAGCTAGCTCTTGCTAAAATTTCAAGAAGTCCATGCATCAATAGACTTACCCAGGCTTGGAAAATTTTATGGCTCTGACAGTGGATGCCGCTACAGCTTGCTGAGTGTCACCACCAAGATCTTCCTGGCGGCAAAGTGTGTCACTAAACCAGGAACAAGCCTCAGTGGAAGTGAGTCAACTGTGGTATTATCAGCCGTGCTTTGTTCAGTTCGCAGAGGGAGGAGATGATGAAAGCTTGAACCTATATATCAGAATATGGCATCCATCCTTTTGTTTTCTCTGCCATTTTATCTTCTGAGAAAGTGCTGTGATTTTCTTCCTACTAATTTAGAAAGGCAAAAGGTGGTAAACCTTACATGCGGGATTTGAAATTTCGGTAATTTCAGCACCCACCGGAAAGGTCAAAATCTCCCTGAAATTTTCGGTTTTTGCCAAACATTTGTAAATTTGGTCAAAATTTGTTCAAATTCAGTCAAAATATGTTATAAATTCAAAAAAAATTGGACAAAAAATTCTAAAATTACTGAAATTTCGGTGATTTCGGTTGTTTCGGTCCCTAGCGGCAAAAACACAATTTCGGAAACAAACCCTGCTTACATGTGCAATATTTTTGTACTTAAGTTCATGCAATTGTTAGTGGTCTCTTTCCATCCTTTCTTTTTCAATATTTGATGGAAAAATGCACCAATGGATTTGTGTGCAGATTATCACGTGGCACTTCGGTTTGCAGCACAAGTTCCCTGCAGACCTTGCTTGAAATTTGGGTTAACAATGGCACAGCTTTCCTGAAGCTGGTCTAGAAAAATAGCCCGTGTTCTGGTAATTGTGCATGGCTGTCCAATGCCCTTAACATTTCTGATGAATACTGCAAGCGTCTGTACTTCTTGTTTGTAAAGTTTGCAGCAGCTGCCTTCTCCGAGAAATAAGTTGCGATGGCCTATTCACCAATTCAGAGGGAAGATCTTGGGAAGCAGAAAGATGGAAGAGTTACCACGGTATAAGTACATCGGAGCGCTTGTTGCGCTCCACAGAGTAAGTCGCAATTCCATGCACTCAAAGATTACACTGTACGCCTCTTTATTGCAGCAAATATATGGCAGTTATACTAGCCAACAAAACATTGGCACCAGAACATACACAGTAGTATTGTACAGTAGACTGGCTTTTGACAGTTTGAATGTTTCGCAGGGTAGAGGCTTGACTGGGAAACTGAAACTTGCTCCGTACCTTAACACGGGCGTCATCCTCTCCTTTCAAGGAAGATGGTGGTGTAGCTCCATCAGCAGCTCTCCCTTCAAGGAAGATGGTGGTGCAGCATCTCCAGCGACATGGAGATCATCTCGTAGGATTGAAAATCACAAGAAGTAAGCCTACTAGAGAGGGGTGAATTATAGAAATTAAATACCTAAAAACCGAAAGCTTTTAGCGGAACTAAAAGTTATCCTCAAACTTGATGGTGATTCGATCTAACCGACATGTGAGCACAGGTTTGACCGTGTGCCGATGCCGCCGGTCTGGCTAGTATGGATGCTTCTGTCTAACCACCCTTCGAGCCGAAATCGTCTGTCGTAGTTGCCAGTCTAATCACCAAACCATCAGTTTGACTGTCGTCAAACTATTGGTCTGACCGCCATGCACTCGCTAGTGTGACTGCCAAACCCGAGGTAAAACACAAATCGAAGAACTCTTGAAAATATATCAACTTTATTGCTTCTAATTGTATTTACAAAGTGCAACAACAGCACTCTTACTCTTCTTTCAGCTTTTGACTAAAGTAAAAATATAGACTAAGCCCTAATTTTTCTCTCAACTATACTCTCACAAAAATCGATACCGAGATACCTGAACTCCTCTTCTACACACAATATAACTTAACTATTGACAATTTTCTCCAAGAAAATTTATACACATGTTTTTTCTTTCTTTTTATAACGTGCGTTGCACATGATAATATAAAAAGTAGTGGTTCACTTTTTCACTAGATGCACCCAGCAAAACAATATATAAAACACCATTATCCCTTTTCTTAGCCATCCGATGTATTCATCAGATGGCACCAAACTATGTAGGCATCAATTTCTTAGGATGCTACATTGAATTTATCGATTGCCCCAACGAGTGGAATGCACAACGTACTCCTCCCGCTGACACCGCCGCGGTGCTACTCCATCGTGTTCTCCTCACCGCCGAGCTCGCCCCACCCCCGTCGCTCCCAATGCATCATTTGCAAGGAAGAATTGAATAAGATAGGGAAGGAAAGAGGAGGAGCTAAATATGTAGCAGACCTAGAGCAGCGCCTCACGCAGGCGTGGTGCGGCCTTGCCAGGAACAACGAGGCCGTCGCGGGTAGGAGCATAGCAACAAAGAAATCGGGGTTGGTGTCTGCAGCATAGCTCGGCCACCAACAACATCGATGCTCCGGTAGTCAAGCTACCTGCCTCCGCGGTGGCGGCGGCAACCTCTAGCCTTAACCGGCAAGCATGGCCTAGGGGACGACGCCCTTCGAGTTTGGAGTTGGGAAGCAAACCAATGGAGAGAGTAGATCAGGTGGTGAGACTGGAGGCTAGAGGTGATGGCGTTCTAGAGGAGGGTGTTGGTATTTCTTAATGATATTACTAAAAATATAATTCCCAGCAATGGCGCAGAAATAGTCTTGATATATTTATGGTTACGGAAGTGATCCGCAAGCGCATGGATATACCATTGTAGCATTTCACCCGGAAGTATTCCAAGGTATTATATTTATTTAATCCCAAGGGAAGATTAATAAGAGAAGACTATGCTAATAATTTACATGGTACTTGTATAAGTTAGAGTCTAAGCAGTGGTTAATAATTCAAAGGTAGAGTGACACGAACAAGAAGAACTAAGTACTCTCATTAAATAAATCCTTGGCTAAGTGGAGAAAGAATAAAAAAAGAATTCATCATAATACTTCTAATATACATGTATCTTTAATTTACACTCTTTAGTATACAATCATGTAGCCAATACCCCCTAACTATGCTCTCTTAGTGTTTCGAGAGACCGCGCCTGACTGCCGAGTTCCTTACGACAACCCGTCATGGTCATCTAACCGGAAATGAATACGGAGGAGTACCTATACCAGGAAATTAACTTATGACTATATACTAAATACCCGTACTGAGCTATCACCATCAGCGGCCCACCTCTATTGTCCCGCATCATATACCCCCAAATAATGATATTTAATAATCTAAGCACCATGCTTACATTATCAAATACTACTCTATATCCGCTAGCATGACATAAATCAATCATTTGCATGAACATTATACCCACACCATTGCATATCTCTGGTAAGCTAGCTACATAATTATATTGAGATAAATGTAAAGTAAAGTCGGTACTCAGATTATAAGAGTGAAGTAAATTGCCGAAACTGAATAAAGAAGAATATTTCATTAATTGTACAAGTCTTACAAACGGGAGAGAAGCTACTAGAGCCATACCCAAATTTTCCTGAAGACTCGAGGATTAAGAGAACTATTCTATTTCCTATTCCACTAGCACTAGAACACTAACTAAACTTGAGAGAGAGCTCTTGATCTTCTTGCTTAAGTGTGTGAAATAATGAAGAAGGTAACCCCTTTATATAGCCTTGTAATGACTGTTGGAAGGGTCGAAAACGCCCTCTAACCATCATTGGGAGTGAATCCTGGATGTCCACGCCAAACCACAGGATGAACGGCTGTGATGGGGGTTCGGCCGAACCCAGGGTTTGGCCAACCCTGGCCTAGCCCAAACGGCCCAATTTTTGGCAGGCCCCCTCTCTGATGGTTCCTCAATCCAGTGGTAAGGTGTTTTGGGCACTTTGAGATTATTTATTTGGATTTATAGGCCCATTCATCCGTAAGTCTACCTCTTGATGGCTTCCGATTAATTGTTCGTTTATTTTCCGTCGATTCTCCTTCTCTTTATGTAGCAATATCTACAATCAGATAGAATCCAAGTGCAAGTGCAAATAGATTATTCTAAAACAAATATGCATTGCAAGCATAGCTAATTCTCCTATATTTTGGTTATACTGACGGTCGAAATTGGTCTATAACGACCGTCAACAAAGGGCCAAAAGGAGGGAGCAGATCGCGTGGCGGGACCAATGGTCAACGGTAGGATGGTGCGAGACGGGGCTCGCCTCCTACTTCATCGATGACGATGACAAGATGCCATGACCGTTGCAGCATCGTCAGCATCTTTACCTCTCACATCATCTCTCTCACTAGTTATGGTTGGCTACATGGGTATGTGGAGGGTACTGCTCAGTCTCTCCCGTGGTTACCCATCCCGAATCTCTGCTTCGACCAGGGCAACGGATTCGGTGGTAGTTTCGGTGTGGAAGAACAAGCGCAATAGTGCATCTCCCCACTTGCGAGCATCTTTTGGGTGATGGAGGAGCACCGCTCACAAGGTATTGCTTCGATTGTGAAATAATTCTCTTTCTCAAACCCTAGAAGCAATCACTAGATAGAACATAGAATTTTTTTTATTGGTGTTCCTTTTTTTTATTGTGAGAAGCATTGGTGGACAAGAACCATGACTTTTTTTAATGGAAATCAAGAACCGTTAATTGTTTCTCATTGAGATACATGGATATGTGCTTGTTGTTGTATGTAGGTGGATGCAGAGGTTTCCAAA